AAAAACTTACCACCTGTTTTTCATTTTCTTCTTTATAAAACCCAACATAAATGAGATTTCTATATCCAATTTGCATTTTATTTTGTTCATTTCATTAAACTTACACTTTTTAAACTTCAAAATATTCTCCATGTTTTGTTTTTGGTTGACTTCTAATTTTCTCTCTCTCTCTCTCTATCTTTTTTTTTTTTTTTTTTAATGACAGCAGATTGTATCTCTTGTGTTTGGGTGCATTTAGCATTTTCTTTCTCTCTGTGAAAAGCCTACATGAGTTAGAGCGCCCTGCGAGGACCTTCTACACCGATCGATGATCTATTTTCACTTCTAATGAGTCGTTTGAAAAAGCAAAAAGGACCTGTTGTTTTAGCCGACTGTGTAGCTGCAGCTGGAAGGAGGGAGGTCCTGAACCGCTTCTGTCCCGAGCTGGATTCGTCTGCGCTAATTACGCTTGTGCTCGGCCTCCAAACCTGAAAAACAAAGCTCTCCGTGTGCCGTGATTGTGAAGCCACGAGGAGACTCTTTGCTCGTGAGAAGGGTCAGGTCTTCCCTCCTTCCACTAGATGGCGCTTTTGGTCTTTACAGTATATGGACTTTCACCCTCTGCCTGCCTGATTCCTTTAATCCTCATCAACACTTGTTTTAAACTCCTTGTAAACAAAACAGAGCATAGATATGAATGTGTTATTAAAAGATGAGAAAACGGATGCCCTTGACTCTTTGTGGTCTTTTCGTATGACGTGTATCACAGTAAGGAGATGTCATTTTAGTAAGTTTGTCTAAAATCCCCAATACATTCAATAGAAGTTGCCTGTTTGAAATTAAAACTTCTAATCTGTTGTTGAATTATAAATATGTACTAGGAAATTGATTTTGTCTGGCATTGAAGAGACTGGAAGCACAAGGGAAGCAAAAACTGTACCACTTCAAGCATTTTGGAGATCATACTTTTGCTAATACCGTTCCTACAGTGAGGCACGGAGGTGGCAGCATCATGACATGGCCGTGTTTCTCCGCAGATTGATACCAGTTTAATTAATTTAATAATAAATCTACAAGCAGTGAAGGTGCCTGAATACTTTTTTGCAGTGTCTGTACATCCAGAACACATTGAGAAATGAGCATTGGTCATAACACGTTTATAAATAGCACCCATCTCATCTGCTCTATATCCGGAGCACTAGCGCTATCCGGTTCCATGGAGTACATGGCAGGCTTTTGCAGGTGTAGACTAGCCAGGGACAAGAAGATCTTACAGAGGTCAGACTTCTAGTGCTGTTGAAAGATTCCCAACGAATACCTGCTCAGGTGCAACCATCAAGAAAAGTTTGCCTTGTAACTTCCTATGTAAGCTAACTGTCTAAGTGAGGGCAGGATACCAACCAATGTAACAAGTCAAAACTGAAACGTACAAAGCAGGCTGCAGTTGAAGGGTTTTCTCTTTCGGTCCACCAGATGTCACTGTGGCAACATCTCTCAATCTTTTCTCTTTTTTACTGCAGTTACTGGTGACCTCACCTTACTTTGTGCCAACCCTCTTAATTCAAGTCTGAGCAGAAATATTTTCAGATATGTGACGAGATATTCGGACTGCTTTTATGCTGTGATGCGATGTACTGTAACATCCTGTATGTTGTGGCAGCAGCATTTAAAACTACAGTTGCTAAATGGTGTTCACCACATTATTTTTGGACGATATAAAGCTGAAACACTGGATATATTCAGCTTTTAATGGCTTTGACTAATCTTGCGATGAGTGTGTCGCAGATAAAACTGAAGCCGTCGGGTTCCAAATCAACTTCAATCCAATTTCAATCTCTGCTCTGTCCTTGAAACATCTTCTCGTCGTTTGGGATGTGGTTTCCTCTGTCTGATCAGCGTACAGTAATCAAAACGTACATTTCTTCTGGCTTTGACGCTGTATAATTCAAGACTGTGTGAATCCAACATTATCTCTGTTTACAGAGTGGTTTCTAAACTTGACTTTAAAGCCAAACTCTTAGTAAAGATGTCACAACTTCAAAGCCCTCTCAGATAACTATATATTTTTTCTAAAAAATCCAGTCAGACCTTCGAAAAGTCATTTTCATTTGCATTTTACTTCACTTAAGTGCAGCATCTACACAGTGGATCAGCTCTGCGGTTTTATTAGCGGTTTGCAGACAAAGATGCAGAAGTCGCTCCACGTGGGTTTGTCTCATTGTCACCGGACTTCTGCAATGATCTGTCAAGTCATTCAACAGGCTTCAACTGTACAAGAATACAGCTGCTGGACTTTTAGCTTAAACCAGGAAAAGAGGACCAATCCCACCACCTTTAACATCACTACACTGCTTACCAATTTATAGTTATTTATGTTATTTTGTTGCTGATGGGAAGTTTTTTGTAGCACTGCTTTAAAAGGCTGCAGTGCAAAAAAAAAACATGCTATACAATAAATAACATCTTAACCCTTTATTGGGCAACGAACTAGGTATGGTAACTTCCACAGGCTTTAACAATGCTGGGTGGGAAATGGAATCACATGACTTCATCCAGCCAATCATCGAAGGTCATAAGTCCCCTAAGTCTGACTGGTAATGTTTAAATAATTGTTCCTTCATGTTTATGTGTGTAATTCTTACAAGAATGTATCCACATGTTGTTTGGATCATTATTATATTTTACCTCCAGGTGGGTGAGGAATAGTTAAAACCAGAAGTTTACATACACAATATAAAAAGACGCATAAGTTGTTTTTTTTCTCACTGTCTGACATGAAATCAGACTCAACTTTTAATGTTTTAGGTCAGTAACAATCTGGTTTCAGCTGTATACGATCACTGCTTTGACTTTGATTTGCAGCCTAAATCTGAAACTTTTTTTTTTTAAGTCAAAAAAGAAAAAATGTCCTCTAATATCCACCAATAATACAACATTTCAACGAGGGCCCTATAAAGGGTTAAAGTGTGCTATAATCATACTTCATGAGGAATCAAATATTATTTTAAGCAGCTCTCTGCCTCCCTTTCTGTGTTCAACCTTGACATTTTTATCATATTTAAACCACAATAACATGTTATTATCATATGCGTCAGTCAAAACAAAAGGCAGAACTTAAAGTAGTCACGTCATACTGACTGTAGATTCCTCTAAGTTTCAGTTTTGATGCCAGTTCCTTGTTGGCAGCCCCTGACCACATCTTCCTCCTCTGGGACGTCACTTATGATATAGTGATGAAGAACTTGTATGACCTCAAGGATGCAGAGATTAGTCAGACCTTCCCGACGTGTAGACAAGGATTTGAAATGCTGGAGGACCAAACACCTCACACTGCATGAATAAGTCCAAGTCCTCATAAATGAAAAATACACAGCACGGCTTTGTAATTTATCATAACAGACCAAAACATGACAAAGCACTGAATAATACTTGTTTCCCCTTCTCTACTGAGTAGATTTTTATTGTAATACTGTCGTTTCACTTTAATTTTGAATTCAAGACTTTGGCGTTGGAGTATATTTTATCATGATGTAACGTTGGAAGATTTGTTTTGTCAGTTTCTGTCTTTGCAGCCTATTTTGCTGACAGTCAGGAAATCAAAGTGTCACTTCTCTCTGCAAGTCTCTTCCTGCAAGCTCAGGAAGTTCTACGGTTGGTTGGTGGTGAAGAAACGCAGAGAAACAGAAGAAACTGCGGCCGACAAAGTAAGTCTTATAAAAACACATCTCCCTTAACTTTTTGTGTTGCGACGTTGAACATATGCATATTTTTTTTTCTATCCCACCTTTTATACTGATTCTATCTCTTCTTTCTTTTTCTTTTATTTACTATTTGGAGTTTTTTTAATTGTATTTTTTTCTGTGTTGCTTTTGTTGTACTGCAGATGTTAATGAATCTCCATGACGCATTATTTTAAAAGAGCTTTGTTTGATGAACTTAAAGCTGAGTGTCTAATTAGGTTGAAATCATGTATATTCTAACACATTAGTTGGTGTTAATGAGCTCAGGTGCTCTTAAAGTGATGCTTCAGTTCTCAATTTGTATCTGAATGTTAGAGGAATTTCTCCACCAAAACGTTTTTCCACTAAGCTAAGAGCAAATGTGCTCCAGTCCTGTATTTAAATACATTTCTTGGTTATTTGTGTGTCTCTCTAGAACAACTCCACCGTGTTATAAAAGAAAATATATTACTTTTGACTCCTGTGCAGCTGTACTTACTAGATATGTTACAGCACATTAGGACTATAAAAAGCAGCATCATCAGGATAGAATGAAAGATTTTTTTTTTTAAATACCAAGTTAAGCCACCTGACACTATATAAAGTGAACAAAATCAGTTCATCAGTCATGTGCAAATTTTAAATACTGTTAACATGTGATCATAATCCAATTGTACAAAATCTAAAACCAAACCACCGACACAGAGCCAATGTTGATGAATGTCTTCACTTTTATATCTTCAGTATATTTTATTGACAATGCGTCATACTAGGGCTTTAACTCTTTCAATTGTGGTATCTTTGCTTTTTCTCATCCAAAACATCTGCTTTCACTTCTGTCCAAACGCTACACATCTGTCAGGGTTAACGTGCACCACCTAGTGGACGCTTGGAGCCCACAGACAGACAGACGTCGCCCAGGTTTGACTGTCACTTTGACAGTGAAATTGACAAAGACTGTTCCCTCAAACATGCTGCCTGTCAACTGAAGGTTTTATCAGTGACGAAAACGGGAAGCGTACCGAACTATCACTGGCACCGACTATAGCTTGAACTGAAACAAAGAAAGTTCCTCTTATTGACATTCTATGCATCGTGGTATTTCATTGATGGAAAAAAACACAACGAAAGCAACAGTAAAAGCAATGCTGCAGCTTAATAACCTGCCTGTAGGCCTTGTTTTGTACCCTACTGAATTAAACCAGCAACTTATAACATGAGAATGTGGTTCTTGTCAAAGACAGATTCTCATATTTGCAAACTGTAGCATCCGATTCTAGAATGTCTTGTTAAGAAACGAAAAAGCTTCAAACTTGCTGAAATGACACTTGACGCTTGAGTGTATTTAAATATTGTCAAACACGGGTCCTACAGGTACAACAATTTGTCTTGTTGCTTAGCCAGACTCACTGGGAAGAAAACAGAACACAGTAAAACAGATTTCTTAATGCACTCGCCAAACATCATTACATGAGTGTATTCATCCAGTCTGTCTGTGAAGATTCTCAGCCATCCAGGTCATGGTTATTCTGGTAGGTTAATCGTAACAACTGGACTTACTTGAGTTCCTTGAAGACGTTTCCTCTCTCATCCAAGACTCTTCATCAGTTCTGACTGACTAGTTGGGAATTCCAGATACTGATATCCTTAATGAGCCATTAACACCTGAGTTTCAGTTTCAATTGGGGGTTTGTTGCTCCTCCCCCTTGAAGCCACAAAAGACCCTAATGAACCCCATTGAAGCAGGGGGAGCACTAACGACCCACATAACGAGGGGGAGGAGCAACAAAACCCCCCAATGTTTTTTTTTTTTAGAAGCAAATGGTTCTGGGTAGATCCTCAGGTCTTTCATTACCCCTTTGTGTGTGAGAAAGAGTATTTTGTGAAATGTCATGCAAAATACAATGTGTACAGTATTCTGGATTTAATTTACAGGACTGATAAGAACATCCCTGTTTTCTTTAGTGTTCGCTCAGTATGGATCTGGATCTGGAAACAGCCTCCCCAGCATCCAGCTGTGTGTCTATGAAGAGCAGCCACTCCATGGGTGAACCCTTAACGTTTAAAGATGGAGCTGTTTCCACAGAGCAGAGGTGAGGATGCATTAAATCACGACTGAGAAGAAACAAAATGAAAAACAAGCAGGTTTAAATTAAAAATCTTCTCTGTATCAGAGTCCAGCCAAAGAGACCAGACTCTCCGGTATCCAGCTGTGTGTCTATGAAGAGCGACCAATCCATGGGTGAACCCTTAACGTTTAAAGATGGAACTGTTTCCACAGAGCAGAGGTGAGGATGCATTAAATACAGGATTGAGAAACACTAAGAAATCAATCAAAACAAGCTGGTTTGAACTAAAAAATCTTCTCTGTATCAGAGTCAAGCAGAAGAGACCAGACTCTCCGGTATCCAGCTGTGTGTCTATGAAGACCGACCACTCCATGGGTGAACCGTTGACGTTTAATGATGGAACTTTTTCCACAGAGCAGAGGTGAGGATGCATTAAATACAGGATTAAGAGATCCTAATCAATCAAAACAAGCAGGTTTGAATCAGACTAGACCCTCTAGTATCCGACTGTGTCTATGCAGAGCAACCGGTCCATGTATCAAGATGTAAAGTTTAAAGATGGAGCTCACTTTACAGAAAAGAAGTGTAAAAACATAAAAAAATCACAAAATAAACAGTCTAAACAAGAGAATTT